ATAAAAAAATTTATTATGGGCGTTTAAATAATTTTATTTAAAATTTTCATATTTTAAAGTTTTATTTGATAATATTTTTGAATTATTTAATAATTACTATGAAAAGAATATTATAAATGAATATAATATAATTTATATAAAATATTAATTAAAATTAATTAAATCATCATAAATTAATACTTTTAATATGATATTGTGTGAAAATTAAAAACATTGCAATACCGCAAACCCAAACACATCTTTAATTTTTTTAATGAAATTACCCGCAAAACTTTTAGGATCCAAAATCTGGTGGTCTGGTAGTATAGGGCGCAAAATCCTGATAAAAATTCATTAGGTGCAAAATTTGGACAAGCAAAAAAGTTTAGGTGGCAATTGGGGGTTTGGTCAATATTCTGCCACTCTTCGTTTTTCAATTTTTTTAATTTAAGAATGCTTAGACAATTTATGTTTTTATTAATATTTGCCTTAAAAAAACAAAGATAAAATGAAAATTTTGTAATAATGTATATAATTAAAGTAAAATTATAATACTAAGATAAAAAAAAATGTTTTTCTACCTTACAATAAATAAAAAAATAAAATTTGAATTTAAAAACCTATATCTTTCATTTCTTTGACTTGTTACTGGCTAGGAGAATAACATGAAAAAGGCAAAATCCCTGGGTAAAAAACACCCCTATATTTGTTTCAAAACAGTTTGCACAAAAAGACTAATACTGTATTAACGTGGCCCTCATTTGCCATCTCTCCCAAAGTGTTGTCTGCGTCAAAAAAACATTCTAAATTTTAATCTTTATACTCCCACATGAAATGTCATCTTTTTCAGTGAAAGAAGCAGTTCTCTCAGCTCTCTTGGGGTTGGGAGTGTGGACAAAACAACTGAGCAGAGAGTACCCATTATAAACAGTAACGACTTTGGATTTTCTGGCATGAAAAGTGGGAGAATGAGCAGTGCAAAGGGGAAAAAAAGACGATGAAAGTGTACTACCAAAGCTCCCCCCATTTCGAGAAACCCCTTGAAATGTTCCTTTCGCTACAGGGAGAAATCTGACTGACACCATTCGTATGTATGTATGCATGCATGTGTCAATCCAAAAATGGGAGTGTCTTTGGCTGAGACAGAGTACCATACGGAGGGGGAGAGCGAGTGGGGGGCAGGCAGCTTCAATTATATATCTTTCTACTTCGTTAAATTAATAATTACAGTCACGTACTTCAGAAATGGAGGCCAAGAGGAACTGTAGCAGTATTCCTGGTGAGATGGAAGAGGAGGAAGAAGAAAAGGTTCTTAAGAGGAGAATCTCCACACATCCTCTCTATGGGAGGCTTGTTCAGAACCACTTGGATTGCCTCAAGGTCTGATCTCTGGTTCTTTCTTTCCCTTCCCTTCACTTCCATTCCCTGTGCGTGTTTATATATGTGCTATAGATCTACAATATTGTTCTAACCAAAATTGGACCGCAGATCGATTTGACCATATGCGGCCTAAAAACTTTTGGTTCTATCTAAAGTTCAAACCCTTTTCCATGATACGTACGTTCACTTTTTGGAATTTCACTTGAGTAATATTCATCAGCTTTGTTGCTTTTCGCCCTTTCGCCAAATTACTAGAGCCAAGAGCGTTTCCATAAAATTCTGTCTGCACTTGGGGTTCCAAATATATATATATCTTCTACATGTGTTTCATAGATTTAAATCTGTTAACGTATGTAACAAATGACGGTTAAGCTTGGGAATCTGGGATAATGGTGGTTTTGCTGCTGTTGTTGTCTCTCTGCTTCTTAGAAAAAATGGTTTTTCAAACTTGCTCTACAAGAGTATCTGTATTATAAGGTGTAATTAATATAATTTTTAATTTTTAATTTATATAAAAAATGAAAAAATTAATAATAATTTTAATACCAATATTATTTTGAATGATTTAAATTGGACCGTTCATACATTGAAGGTCATTTTTTAACACAAAATAATTGTTAAAAGTGTGCCAATTACATTCTAATTAGAAAAACCCTAAGTAAAAACATAAATTTTTGAACTGTGGGCAAATTTATATATTATTTGGTTTTTATGCATGTATGTGTTTATGCGTAAATGCATTTTTTGGCTTTGTTCAGGTTGGTGGCGTTGGCATGAGCATTGCAGATCAGAGAAATCAGAGGATCATAAAAGTTCAAAGCAAAGCTGATTACAGTCCTTGTTCTAGCATGCTGAAGCAGTCAGAGTTAGACATTTTCATGGTATAGTCTCTATATATATTTTATAATTTTTACTACTATATATATACATTTTTATCCCATGTTTTAATTAGCTGCATTATTTCTTTTTCTTTGGTGGAAGAAAACTGATTGTTATTTTTTAAAATCCTAACTTACTAGTTAATAGTTTGGATTATATAAGAAATTACTTGTGTTAATAGAAGGGTGCTAATTAAAACTTGAGTAACAGCTAAGAGGAAGGATCTAAAATTGTCAGAAATTCTGATTAAAGAAAGCCTGTAAAAGGGAGTCTTGAAGACACAAAAATCACATACAAAGAGAAAGATCTAGACAAAAATCTACAGCCAAGAGGATAAGAATGCGTTAAATAGAGTCTAATTAATTAGTCGACAAAAGAATTTGTGGTTAAGAAAAAATTTCTAGAATTTTGTTTAGCTACTGACGAATGGAGCCTATATATACATAGATAAATTTAAAACATCTCAGAAATGTGAGCTAAAAGCAAGATGAGAAGCGTATAAAAACCTTACGAAAACAATAAACATAACTTTTAAAGGATGTGAATTTGAGTACTTAAGTGAGTTTTAATTAATTAAAATCTCAGAAATGGACTCAGTATACTTAATGAATTACAATTGAAAAAACATTGGACTAGTTTGACTAAAAAAATTCATTTATTTTCACATTTCTTCACCTCGTGTCAGAATACTTAATGGTCCTTTTTTTTTCTTTTGATGAAAGTATACTTAATGGTTTTTATAATTGAAAATTTCATATTCTTAATTTTTATTAATTCAATTTGAGAAAAAAATTGAATTAAAATTAAATTTCTCAAATTTGTTACCTAGTTTCAAGTATTATTATCATTTTTAATTCAGTATACTTAAATTAAAATTCATTGTTTGGTAAAGATAAAACTAAGGGTAATATAGATAAATACATAAATTGTTTTTAAATCTTTTAATTTGAAAAAATAGAGTAAAAACAATAGTTATGTTGAAATAAAGAAAGTAAATTGTTTTAATGGAATAATTGATTAAATAAATGTCTAACTTTTATTTTTTCAGTGGTAACCATGTGAAAAAATATGTATTTATTGTACCCAAAAATTAGACAAACCTTAATTTAATTTAATTCTTCCTCTCTTGACTTTTGAATAAGAGGATTTTTTTTCTTTTCTTTCTATTGTCTTTTTAAATATCTTTTAACTAGTACTAAATTGATTAAATAATGTTTTACAATTCATATTGTTTCAACTGCAAAACATTAGCAACTAAATTAAAAGAGACTTTTGATATTAGAGAAGAGAACTCTCATCTAATAGTTAGTATTTTATAATTTAAAACAATATAAATTATAATGTATTGGACTTTGATTATAAAAATTTGTCTCTCTTAATATTTCTTCACCTCTTCTCACGTGTCAGTATACTTAATGGTCTTTATAATCGAAAATTTCATATTCTTAATTTTAATTAATTTAATTTGAAAAAAATTAAATTAAAATTAAAATTCTCAAATTTATTACATAGTTTCCTTTCATATTCTTAACCTCTTTTCATGTGTCAATATACTTAATGCTCTTTATAATTGAAAACTTCATATTCTGAGTTTTAATTCATTCAATCTAAAAATAAAAAATTGAACTAAAATTAAATTTCTCAAATGTTACCTAGTTTCAAGTATTATTTTTTAAAAATTTAGTATACTTAATTTCTAAAATTTTATATTATTTTTAACTATATAAATATTAATTACCGTACAACTTAAATTTTATGATTACTAGATAAGAGTGAAGACTATCAAGACTTTTGTTTAAAAAAGAAAAGAAATACGCAACGTAAAAGAATAAAAAGCAGCATTAACACACTACGGTTATTATGCCACTATTAAGTTTTTTAGAGCCATATAAATCATTAAATTTTTATTTTATTTAAACTATTCAGAACATCTAAGAATTGATAAAATAGTTAATATTTATCATTTAATAGAATGAAATTAATTTATAAATAAATATTTTTAAATATCATAATCAATTGCTTAAGAACAAACAGCTATAAACTAATAAAATTATAGTTAAAACATATAGCCTTAAGAAAATCATGTATGGCAATAACCACAACCCACTACCTCCAACCCATTTTAATAACAAAAAAAAAAAAAAAAACACTTTTTGGTATTAAAAATGTTAATATATATAATTTCAAAAAAAAAAAATTGTTTAGTCTAAATTATATTAAATTGTACAACACTTAATATTGGACGAGGGTCATGAACCCCTTAATATTGAGGTCTTTTACCTATCTAATGACCCTTGGTGCAAAATAGGGGACTCAATTTCAACTAAATGAAATTGAAGTGCTACTCATACTATATAACATTCATTATATAGTTTTAATTGGATGTATTGACACTTGGCAAGACGAATTAATTAAACTTTGAACTGATCGACTCTTCTGTCTCCCTTGGATGGATTGTCTATCTCTGTTGCTTCCAACCAACTTATTAATAAGGAGTCCAACTTATGCATTTTTACTATAAAAGGAGTTGAACTTTTAATTAAGTTTCCTAATCAAGTAGTTAAACTTGTCATTTTTTTAACCATGCAAGGAGTTATTGCATATCTATTGTTCATGTGGCTAAGGGATTTCGTTAGTAGCCTCATCAATTTGATTGTGTTTTATATTTAAGTTTGTTGCTGAGGGTGTTTTGGCAAAACTTAAAAGGCATTTGCTTAAAATGCATATTCTTTTTTTATAAATTTAAAATTTTATCCAAGATTTTTTCAAATTTGTTAAAATCACTTTTAAAAACTAATTTTGAATTTCTCTCTAACAATATTTTGCAAGGGTTGGAGAGTGGAGAGAGACTCCTTTTGAATTAACAAATTTCTCCTTTGATGTTAAAGGAGGCTTTAATATATATTTTTTTTTCACTTTTTCTTGACTTTTTGAAGCTGACTATTATCAGCGAGCATAGTTATTTGACGAAGTGAGATGAACTATCGCAATGATCTAGATTATTGTTTCATGATTGTATTATGCATTTTTCTTTCAGCTAAATTTAGGGTTTCTGCAATTGTAATTTAAGGGGAGGGGAAAGTAGGGGAGACAGAAGAAGGAAAGCAATGGGCCCTATTCTTGCTTCTTCTTTCTTTTTTCTAATTTTAAGATATCTAGTTAGCAAGTTTACTCCATTTCATCAAAAGTTTGACAGAGTTTCTTACACTTCACCAAGATGTGGGTTCATTTAACTGAATCCGTTAGTCCGTCAGCAGTAGACATCCAATAACTACTTACATGGTAAAAATTGAATAAGTTTGAGTACTTTATTAGGAAAATTAAAAGTTCTACTCCTTCTATAGTAAAAGTGAGTAAGTTGGACTCGTTATTATGTTTTGCCGCTTTCCTGTCTTCTAATTTAGATGGTCATTGCCAATTTATTTGTTTTTCTTTTTTTCCTGAAACATCAATTTATTAGCTTATTTTAATCAATTTAAGAGTATGATGTTTTATAATTTAGATTATACTGAATTAAAAAACATTATTATTAGATGTAATGACTTTTCCTTATTATTATATAGTGGTTTTTCCTAATTTTTTTTTTAAAGGCAAAAAAGATTATACTTTTAAGTATAAGGATACTCAAACACATTTACATCAAAAAAGCATACTTCAACTCAAACGTTGTCTTGCCAATTGATGGCATATTGTATGGTCCCTTAAGAGATTTTACAACCGTTGGGATTTAGAATCCAATCCGAAAAAGTAAAACTTCCTCCTTTCCCTATATTTTTTATCCACAAAAAAGACCTTGCTTGTATTTGATCAAACATCCGATCCACATTTGCATGGCCCCCTTTGGGGTTTTTCCTAATTTAATAAGAGATTTTACAACCGTTGGGATTTAGAATCCAATCCGAAAAAGTAAAACTTCCTCCTTTCCCTATATTTTTTATCCACAAAAAAGGCCTTGCTTGTATTTGATCAAACATCCGATCCACATTTGCATGGCCCCCTTTGGGGTTTTTCCTAATTTAATAATTAATGTTTTGTAA